ATAAAAAAGAAATGGTCAAAAGCTAAAATTATTTATTAAAATAATCATATGTATATATATATATATATATATATATATACACTCATTTAAAATTATTTTGGCATTAAGCTGCATCCTTTCAAATAAATAAATATTTTTAAAATACATGTATAATAATTTAGTTTTGATGCTAATACGTAAAGATAGTAAATTCTACATTATTTTTGGATGAAGTATTCATGTAAATTATGAATCATATTATTTTCTTACAAGAAATTATAAATAAAAACCATGTCAAGACCTAATTAGAAAAGAAAATACCAAGGCACCAACTATATTTAAAATTTAGCATAATAAAATAATAATTTTAAAATTTAATATATCCTTTATTAGTTAAAAAATAAGGTTTTATTCTAGTTGTGACTAGTAGGCATAATTTTATAATATAAATTATATATTTATACCTATATATATATATATATATATCCTCTCTTTTTATAAATTAAAATGTTACATTTATTAAAAGAGTAGTGCACCAGGTAAAAACTTTCACTTTCTTATATATAAATAAATATAAATATAAATATATATATATATATTGTTTAACATGTTATAGATTTTAAAGTAATCTTTATGGTACAATTTATAATTAATATAATAGTGGTGATTGAAAGCTATTGTGTGTCTCTGAGATAGCCAAGAAAACTATTTTAATAGAAATAATTTAAACTTTCCAGCTTTTTTACACAAAAGTTTTACCAATATATTTTTTATACGACCTCACTTATTATATTAAGGACCGATTTTTTTGAATTATTTTTGAAAAATATAATAAAATATCATAAAAATGATAAATTTATTTATTCTAACTTTTTGGAGGTACAAAAATACTAGTCTAATAAAAACATTCTAGTATGACTTGGAGTACATAGAATACATATTTGATTTTAATATTATACACCAGTGAAGAAATTCACAAGTTTTAGTAATAAAATATCTTATTTTATATAATTACTTTATTAATATTTAAATTACTTTTATCCAACAAGATATTTGTAAGCTATTTTTTATTATCAGTATGTATAGAGATTGTTTTTATCTAATATATAAAAGATAAAAATGCACTTATATAAGTAAGTTTTTGAAGAAGTATGTGATATTTTTTTTCTTTTTATTTTATAACTATTTATTTATTTATTTACTTCTTTTACTCTTTTTGGAAATTGAATTAATGAGATTTAATATCATAAAATATGTAAAGTTTTTTTTATATTATTAAATTTCTATTTTTAGAATATATTTATATTTTGTAACTTATATTATCTTAGTAAGTAAACCAAAACATTATTTTAGGATCTACTTTAATATGCTACATCAATTAAAAGATTATAAATTAACATGATTGTTAGGAGGCCTTTATACTTAGAAGACCATTTTATGAAGCCATGATTCTAAAACCTAACCAAAGTCTCTTAATATATTTTTTTAAAACTTCTTAGAAATTCTATAAAAAGAAATGATGTTAAAACTTAAAAAATTAAACAAGTGAGATTTTTAAAACTATTGCAAATTTGAGTTGATTCTTCACTATTTTATTTTATTTTTATTATTTTATTTAATTTTTTTGAAAATTTTATTTTAATCATCCAAAAAAAATTAAGCCAAAATTTTTAAACCAATAAATATTTATGATAGAAAATATAATTTTATAGATTGATGTTCATTGCTCAAATACACAAGTTCCTTGAAAATAATATGTGTGGTTTACATTTGTCTAAACTTACCATTTCATACCAAGAATATCATTGTAAATATCAAAAGAAAAAGAAGAAGAAAAAGTTAGTAATATTTTTACATAAATTAAATGTTGTGAGTTGATTTTTTAATTGCATATTAAAAAGTCCAAATCTATACTGAAGTTCATCCTTTGAAACTTTATTCCTTTCATGCTAATATATTTTTCTTTTTTATGAATAATAATAATAAAAATAATAAAAATAAAAATTAAGGTATTATAAATTGTAAAAATTACGGTATTATAAATGTAAATTAAAGTCAATGAGATAAGTGCATTTTTACAATTTCACACACAGAATATTTCTAGTAACTACATTTCTTTCAATGAAATAAATAAGATAAAGTAACTGGTTTTAATTTTTAAACAAAAGAAAATCCACATATGTCTTTGTAACATTCTTCAGTTGACTCCATGGTATGACAAGTACACAGTCTGCAACCACTTAATGGCCTTGAAGTGACCTACACATGCATTTTGTGGGATTTTAATGCTAAAAATACATGTAATGAGCGGCTACAATAGTTTGAAACATGGCACCTCATAACATGGGATTTGTATGGCATTATGGGCATCATTGGGCAATATTTCATGGACAAGGTTGGTGAGATATGGTGGATCTTATGTTAGCAATATTTTATGGTTTGTACACTTCAAAACCATAAGCAAAATCGTGATCTACATTGACAAAGTAAAGAACACCAAATATAACCCATTGAACATAAATGTTGTGATTAATCACAATAAACATGTGCCAAAGAAAACAAAATTACAATGCTGTTAAAAGTTGGATTGAACAATTTTTATTTTATTTTATTTTTTAAACTATACAAGATTTAATGAATCTTTTGAACTAGGTTGATCATTTATGCTCTTACAATTTTTTAAAATAATATATTGATTTTAAAAATTACATGTATATTCTATAAGTAAATTAATATCAAATGTGTATGTTTACACACACACTTACTCACAAAGACACCCAAATGCACAATAAATTAACCAATACAACCATAATAGTAATTTCCCCTTCTTTGTTTAATTATTGTTTTTAATTTTCAATTATTCTGAGGTTGTGTGTGTAAAATCAGTGATTTTCTCGTTAGTTATGCATAGACTGTGAGAGGAAAGGTACAAGTTATATCTCCCACAAGTCTAATCAGCGGCCCTAGATGATGTAGGACAGTTGATAAAGTCTTTTGAATATTTGGAAAATCTAGAGAAAATTCAAGAAAGCGATTTGCAACTTTCAATAATAATGGAGAAAAACACAACCAGGCTTTTACATTGAAAAATATATTATAACAAATAAATAAATAAATAAATAAATAAACCTACAAATAAATAGGCTGAGCTGGCAAGCCAAGCAATCTGGGCTGGAGTGAGTACCTTTCATTTGGTGTTGCCAGTGGTCCTTTCTTGCCAAGCTTGTGTTAACTTATGGTAACCCTACAGCTCATTGTTGACTTCGTTTCCACACCACTCTACAGCACCTCCAAAAAAAAACATATATATATATATATATATATATATAGATACCCACCCCACTATAAATCTATTCTATGCACAAACTTTGCCCATTCTAATCAGTGCAAGAACCAGAAAACTGGATGGTCAAAGTGTTTTACATTCCAATCAGAAACTGAATTGGATTAATTCATCTACATGTATGTTTGTGTAGATTACCCATAAACAAACTACTCCACTTCGAAGAAATCCAATGCGGTGGATTCATACCATGGCGCTGAAGCATGAAAAATGTAGAAGATTCAGATTACAAGGCTTTTTTTCTGCTTCAGTTGTGGACCAAAGGAATTCCAAATCCCCTGCACTAATTGACAGTTACCTGCGACGTGGTTACAGCAGCACCACACAAAGTGCGTGAGGTCGAAATCCAACATCCAGTAGTTGATTATTCACAAGAGGGGCTTGAAACCAAAGAACCAGATCAGTGTGTTTTTCCAAGACAAGTCACGGTGTTGTGTTTTTAGAGTTAGAACGATGGTGGTTACGCTGGTGAGGTTGCTCTTTTTCGAAGTGGGTTCACCTTGCAGTAAAAAACGCTGATTCTGTGAGGAAGCAACGGAGGAAAGTCTACACATACGAGACCAAAGCGACAAAATCATCGAGCCAGCCCCCGGCTTAGAAGAATCTACTGTAGAGATTATATCTTGGCCCTAGTACCGTGTACCGATTCGGGTTAGGAATGCCCCCACTTTAGTAATCAATAAAGCTCCCCAGCAAATAGTGACACAGGGGCGCTTTTTCTCTTGCTTTAAGCAGTTTATTTGATTGCAATAAGCTGATGAAACCGCAACGTGATCCCTCACGAAGCTCACACAACTTCTGCAGGGCGAGGATCAGACCCACTCTGCGGTTGTCCGAAAGGGATTCGTTAGGCAGATGAGGCATAAAAGGAATTCTGTGCAATTCTGGACCAAATTCCACGGTCACATCCACAGCGCAATCACTGCTATGTGTAAATATATTCTATACTCAGCTGCTCCGGCAAGAATGCAGGGAGCCGTTTCAGTGCATCCACATCTAGTGATACATGGTGAAACTGTACCTGGACTTGCGCCTATATCCAGGGCCGAAGTGTGTACGAGCACTCCCCCAGCTTGGGTTTAAGGTGCAGTCCATGGCCTCCATGTAATTACTTCCGCTTCAAGTATACCCTCCTCTCAAGGCCTTTGCCTTGCGCTTCCTGGAAGGTAATAGATATATTTTTAACACATAGTATATGGTTTATTTATTAATATGATAAAAGGTTGTCTGCCCAGATCAAATCAGTCCTCAGTGAGCCTATATTTGCTGTTTTAATGTGCTGCCAAGACAATCACTCGCAAGGCATCGTGATACTCATGTGGAGAATCTCGTTAGGACACGTTTGCTGCCATGGTCAGGGGAAGAGCAGTTGCCTGCTTGTAATCTGCTGCACCGAGCCGCTGCAAGTGTTCGCTTTAGAAGAACCAGGTGAAATAATTTGGTGTGCCGGGATCAACATGCAGAGAAAAACTCCACTCGTTGGAATCCATGTCCCAGCGAAGCTGTCTCAACGTGTAGACTAGCTGGAGTAAAGTGAAGTAAGCAACTGACTTTGGAATGCATCGCGTGCACACATCAGATGCTTGCTTTCCAAAATCCTGTGAATGCTCACCAATTACAAATCACACATACACTCCCACCAGAAAAAGGAGAAAGGAAAAAGGAAAAAGAAGACAAAGAAAAAGAAAAGTAGGGGACTTTAAAATGGTAAACTGTCCAAAAATGGGGCCCAGCTCCTGCAGATCCACAGTACTTTAAAGAATGATTGGTCATCTTACGACCAACATACGCTAGACACTGTTTGGTAAAATTTTGGCTCCTCTGAAGCCTTCTGAATGTATATATATATATATATATATATATATATTTCAAAATGTCCATGTAAGCAATCAACTAATATCTGGTAAGACAACACATTGCAGAAGCAGAAAACCTTGAGCTCAAATACTGGCGCTCTCGTTCATGCGCCTGAGCAATCTATAAGTTCCAAATTTGTTCGACTTTTCCCAAATCCATGGAAAAAAGAAGGCACGAGTTTTGGCAGGCGACAACTCTTTGTCCAAGAATCTGAGCTCGTACACAGGCTGCACAAAACAACCACCATCATAGTGCTTCAGCTTCCTTTTATACACTACTACAAAGTTCACAATCAATTTTAATTACTACCGAGCTTTTTTCCTGGAAACTTCGGACAGGATCAGGAAAGCGGAGTTAATACCTTCCAGGATTCTTTGTTGTGGCTTCTGTAAGTTCTATCATCCCGGTTAAGTTCGAGCTCAATTAGAAAATCACAAAGGCTCTCGTCCGCTAACTGTCATTGGGATAACCAGGAAGTGAGTAAGAAGCATGACAATCCTTCGGAAAATAGAAAGTGCCACGTGGAAATTTTCAAGTTAAGCATAGAAAACTGTGTCCGTCTAATTTGAGTCACACCACAAAGCACTAGCACACATATAAACATGGAAGCTGAAATGGAACGGATAAACCCTTGAAATATCAGTGCATACAAATTGATCTGCTGAGGCTTTATTCTTGCTATTGAAATGTCGAGGTGCGGCTGTGGTTCCTCCAAGGGCAGGATCGAAAGGGCGAGGAAGAAGTCCGGTGAAACCATCATTGAGCCAAGCTACATGATAGTGTGAAGAGGGCAAAAAAAACGAAGAAGGAAAGCGATGCCATTCGTCGCCAATACAGACAGTCGCCTCTGCATTCCAACAGAAATCCTCTCAGATAACCAGCTTAATTTTACAAGAGGCAAAATGTGTAATCAACAAAACTCTGATGGAGGTCAGAAACGTACACCTACAGACATTGATCACATCAAATGCAACATAACGATAAACATAGACAACTTCTTTACCAGAAGTGGTGTTTGCATTCAGTGGAGGAAGATGGCGGTAAGCTTGCATAGGAGCAGAATAGCCATGGAACAGCGACAAAGTTCTGCAATAAGAAAGCGCTAGAATGCCTCCTAGTACCAATGGTCGAGCTCTCTTCACCCACTGCCACGACACAGCGCAACTATTTGCTGTAAGTTCCTTGAAGCTCCTAAGTAACATGCAGATGCTTATTGTGTTAAATATAATGACCACCACATATCCAACCTCCAACATGTTAAGAAGCTCAATGGCACTATTACATAAGCTAATCATTTTTCAACTTGAAAAGTAACAATCATGTATACTCAAACGAAGTACCGCAAGCAAGGGCATAAGACAAGATAATGCTTGCGAAATTGACACTAGTGATGCGCGAATATCCACGTATCACAGTTACCAGCACAATAAACTCAGTAAACTTACACAATAACCATTTTAATCTAAAAACCAAGCGTAAACGTTTGAACCAAGTAATTAAAAAGGATGATTGATTTGTTTAACTGACCCAAGTGATCCAAGAAAGGTATTCATGCAATTTCCACGATTCTGGAAGAAAATCATGAAGCCTCTCAATCGTTGCTGCTGCAGCCAAGCAAATAAGCGGGTAAATTGGATACAGAAACCTGCAATACCATTCTACTGTTGGTCTACAAGAGCTGAAGGCACAAGGCAATTGCTCCATGCAAAAGAACTCTGATGTAAATGTACCACTGAGACGCAAGAAAATGAAGGACTAGACATTAAATGTAACGGGAGGACTGAACCGAAGTTTCTAAGCTCCCAACTTATGTAGTAACAGACTATAAGATACAAAGAGAGGTGCAGTAGCAGTGCCTTTCTTCCGAAACAGCGACTTCATGCATGAGAAATGGGAAATGATTACAGTAAGGACTATGTTCGAAAACACAAACCTCTCTTCCTTGTGCGCTTGCAATGACATGAAGGCAACCCAGATGAAAAGGGGCGAAATTGCAACAAGCAGCCTGGGATATCCACGATTTGGTTTACGCGGAAGGCTGTCATAGTCTCGTCTTTCAATATACAGCAGACTTGGAGACAGTAAAGCCAGCACAAACGAGAAGTTGAAATTGTTATACGCATTCAAAAAATAGAACGTTGGACCTTCAACTCCATATAAGGTGCTTCCTTCTCCACTGAATACGTTGTAGAATACCAGATTAACAACCGAAGACGTCCATCGTCCATAGAAGTGGCGGTCTGCCAGGACCGATAAAACCTATTTCACTCATCCATTGCCACACGGCATTTTAAAAATTTCCTAAAGAGAAAAACATCCCACAAATGACCGGTTCGCAAAACATGATTCTTTTTGCGATACAAAGAGAACCTGAGCTAAGAAGTTGCGGTTAAAAATATATATATATATATATATATATATAAAGAAAGAAAGAAAGAAAGAAAGAAAGAAAGAAAGAAAGAAAGAAGAAACAGTGGAACTAACCATTGTACATAGCGTTGAGAGCAATCCGGCCAAGAACACATGAAAAAAGCCTCCACTTATTAACGAGTAAACCACCAATGGAGCAGCAGCCAGAGCTGCAAAAGGCCAGCCTACAAGAACTCCAGCTGCACTAATTGCAACAACTGCTTTATGTCTGCCTCCCAATAAAACCAGTGCTGATGCCAGTGTGATTGCATACATTGAGAAAGTGCTCGGTAAGAAACCTGAAAGTTTCCGACGAAAATGTCAGTTTCCTGCGCAGTTCCCTTTTGTCTATCATATGACCTGCATTTGATCCAGTAAGAATACAAATTCTAATATTCAATTCACAGTACGAGCTCAAATGTTTAATTTTTTTTAAAACACGGGATCGAGAAGGGCGAGATCAATATTTGTACATCGAACTAGAGAAGACGACACCAAAAGCAAAGTAGTAGACATACGTACTGGTGCTTGCGTTGAAACATCCGCTGCTAACACAAAGGAGCATTAATGTGTACATTCCAACCCTTGGTCCTAGCTTTTGGTTAGCAGCACTCACTAAAGTAGCCTCAGTAGCCGCTGATACTAAACCCAGTGCGAGTCTCACCGAATAGAACACGTGCATCTGCATTGGCTTCTTCAAATATTAATCATGAAAGCTCCCATGATAAAAAGCCACACTGCGATACCCATTTTTCTCTTAATTCGACGCATTTGAATTACTATATCTCCCCATTTTCAAGGTGATGGTAAAAATGTGCTGCTTCACACGGACTCTCTCATAAAGACGCCTACCTACACCCCTGGACGACCTGAACAACTAAGATGCGTCACATAAAACCATAATAAAAGTTTGTGAAGACTGACCTTAGTAAAACCTGCGTTAGACAGCAACAAAGAAGGTCCACTAACAACAGCATGAAGCAACAGATACAAATATGACCGCAGTGCAAATTCGGAACTGCACCAAACATATCAACCAACATGCTTCAGTGTAACTTCAAGCTAGGTTATTCTTTCCACTTGGCCAATTCTATTAGCATGCACAACTGTACGTCTAGATCCCAAGTACGAAGCATTTACTACTAAAGAGCCAAATTGGTGATAAATTATGCAGAACCTTCGAGGCTAAAAGCTTAAGATCCAGCGATCAGCTCCAGAAATTCATAGATTCACATCCTGGACAAGGCCACACCTCCACCTTTCATATTGAAAAGTTTAGAGTTCAGGGTTGAGAATTTATACCACGCGCAAGATGACGTGCACTGAGTTTCACGCGAAGGAAAGTAGGTTATACTAGCAGCATTATTAAAAAGAACGACTCAGTGTTTCAGATCAATGAACAGATTACTGTAACATCAAAACAAGTGACATTGGATACGCGTTTTGATAATTAATCGTAAACTGACAATTAGTAACCCATCGCAGTCTCAATCACGACTAAGGCAGAATATACACTTCCATCAAGTGGAAGCATGTAAATAACGAACTGAACAGAATACAAGCGAACAGTGAACATGAATCTATCCATCGACAATCCATTCCTAATCAGCTGCAGTCGGGAAGTGGAATTTGGATGCCCACAGAGCTCATCAAAATGCAATAACAAAACGATCTCACACATCCCGAACCCAGACGATGAGTTGTTTCAAAAAGAAATCGAATTTTCATAGGTGAATTTCGCCCTAAGCCAAAACGACAGGCTCTCCCTCTCTCTGATTCAGTAGAACGACGATTAGTTACCTGTACTCCCAGGTTTGGAACCCGGACTTGTAAAGAAGGTAGTGAAGCGGCTCCCAGTAATTGAACACCTCGTCGCAGTCGTGAATATTATTATAGACAACACTGTAATAACGGGCCACCATGAGGAGAAGGAAAGCTCCACCCCACCCCAAACCTTTGCTCTTCACTTCTTCCACCTCATCCGCCTTCTCCTTCTCTCTGTCTCTCGGCGGCACTTCCTCCTCCACCGTCCGCCTCCGCTTCCGCAAATCCGACGCCATGGCCGCCAATACCACCAAGCACCTCAAAGGCTTTCAACCTCTCTCCCTTACGACTAAATTACTTCATGCACCCTAATATCAAAAAAAAGAAAAAAGAAAAAAGAAAGCTGATCCTCGCTAACCTCACTAAGAATTTCCTCAAGGTAGCGACAAATGACGGATCGCAAAGCAAAATCCTTCGCAACAACCGACAAATTGCACGAGCATTGCAAATTCTCAATACAGTCGAGAGTGGGAGCGGGTGAGCGATGCGAAGAAACCCACAGCATTACCTCCCGCCTCGAATGCACACACAAAAAAATGAGCGTCTTTTACGTTTTGGCGGGCACTTTCTTGGTGATAACGTTTTTTTCGGTTTCGGTTTCACTGTTTTGGAATACGGGTTAATTGCTTTTCGGCCCAAGGAAGTGTATGGCACGGGCGTGGATACTTTAAAGTTGGATGTTGTCTTTTTGAAATGTATTCGCCTACTTTCTCGACGATAGTATAGTAGTGGTTGTGTACAATATTGATGGATCTTTCTTCGGAATTACTAACAAATGTTTATATTTAGTTTACACACCAAACTTAAAAAACATAAAAATTTGTTGTCATTAGAAGCATATCATTTTAATACAGAATTATTTTAAAGTAAAAATGTGATCTCTCATGTATGTCTTTTAGAACCGAGTGTATTGTTGTTGTGAAATTTGCATACTATTAATCTACCAATTAAGACAAAACTTGGGAAAATAATTATAATAAATGTTTGGTATTAAAATTTATTCATTTATTTATTTGAGTGGGTATTAAAAAATCACTATTTATGTGAAAATATAGATGTTGAATGAGATTCCATTTCCTACACCTAAGGTTTAAAATAATAGAAAAACTTCATGAACATTATAAAACAATAAAAACAATAAAATGAATCTTGATAATATTTATAATCATAGATGCAATGATCAAGAAACACAAGATCAAGAAATACAAGATAAATATAATTCTAGATTAGAACCAAAATTATGAGCTAATACATAGCTTTAGACCACTGTTCACAATGTCAAAGTGTTCATATTAGAAAGTCATATGTAAATTTCTTTATTGAATTCTCTTTTTAGGAAAGAATGTGGAGTAAGAAATCATGCGACACACACACAACCTGCAGATCTGCGTTGGATGAAATGAATCCACAGAGGGCGCCATAAAGGGTTGGATGGATGGATGGATCCGGGACGTGTGTACCGGCCGCTCAGAGTTCTCAGGACTGGGACTTCCGAGGTCGCGGACGTGAAAGGTCAATCTGAGGTGGCTGGGCCGAGCGAAACGTCAATCACGGATGGCCCGGCCGGTGTGGCAGCTCGGGACGGAGGAGGAGGGCCTTAGGTCACACACACACCAGGTCTCCTCCTCGAAGCATCAAACGCAGTCCCCCTTCATTGATTACTTGATTGATTGCTTGATTGATTGCTTGCTTGATTGTGTGATTGTGTGATTCAAGCTGTGTCTCAGCTTGCCTTGTATTGATTAGGGCGCATTTTTGCGAAAGAGTTTGGTTAAGGTGTGGAAGAAGATTTTTAGGGGGGCTGTGAGTGTATGATGAGCAAGAACAGGGGGTTTAACGCGGGAAGTAGTATGGGCAATGGAGGAGGAGAGTTCGAGATTTCCCAGGAGTTGTTGTCCGTGCTTCCTTCCGATCCCTACGAGCAGCTCGAGGTGGCCAGGCGGATTACCGGTATGGCCGTTGCTGCGAGAGTTTCGAAGCTGGAGGGTGAGACGGTGAAGCTGCGTCAGAAGCTGACGGAGAAGGAGCATCTCATTTACGGCTTGCAGGAGCGCATCGGGGAGGCTCAGAGCACCTTGCAGGAGACGAGTGCGAGGCTGTCGGTTGCTTTGGATGTGCAGGTGTGTTGCTGTGTTGTTTGCGCTGCATTTTGGTGTGATTCCCGCTTGACAATGTGAATTGGTTTCTTTTGTAGTTTGAATTTGGAAGTTGGAGAGGGAGACTTGGAACGGATGAGCTGTAGGACGGAATGCAATACGTTATTTTATTTTATTTTATTTTTGCTTGCCACTGTGCACATTGCGTGTGGATGCATCTCTCTCCCTCCGAGTTTCTGGCGTTGATGATCGTCTAATCTCTATCTGTTGCAAAAGACTAAGGTATTTCCTCATGGCAACAGTCGCAAGAAAACATTCAATCAGTAAATCAATCGTTTCGTACTTCATCGGTTGCTCGGATTTAAATTCCAACCGATAAAGCCAGTGGCCAGTTACGGCTCCTTGCATTTAGGATCATTCGCGTTCACTCACTTCGTAAAGGTTTTCTCTCGGGTTAGACATCTAGATGGTTTGGAAACTTAGGCCTGTCACATTTCTAGAGCATGGTTTAGAAATTCACTCTCAATGGCAATTCTACTCAGTAGACCTTGTTCTGTGAAACCCTCTTGAATTTATTGTTTAGAAGTATTACTAATTATCTAATCCATCAGAGCAGTGCCATCTATTGGGAGACTGGCGCAGTATAGTGCCCGGCTATTGAAGTCTTCACGTCGCTGTAATAGCTGGTAGGGCCTTTCATGGTGTTTTCACTACTCTCACGTTCTAGACCTTTGATTGGGCTCGATTCGAGACTTTCAAAGTTGGCAACAGAGAACGTCTGTGCAAACGTAATCTTTACCTAATGCGCACTGGAGAAGCTCTGGGTTTGTATCATACATATTTCTGTCACAGACGATAATGTTTTTGGCAATTTCACTCAAACTGTGGACCACTGTTTTTGACAGAACAAATTGGCAAGTGAGAAGAATGCGCTGGTCGCTCAAGTGAAAAAGCTGACGAGGGATGTGGCGAAGGTGAGTTAGACGTTTTGTCGTCTCAGCGTTAATTAGAATGCGCCAAACTTTATTTGAACTTTTCAAACGCTATACTTCTCCTAGGAAAGAGACTGGAAATGTTCTTTAACAAGCTGCTCTTGAATATCCCACTAGGGAATTGCGAGTTGTACAAAGTATTTCTGGTTTTAGAGAACTGAAATGAACTAGCAACCTCAGAGTTTGATTAACTGAATCACTGTAACTTGTGACGGAATAATTGCTTCATAAGTTCTTTTAATGTAAGCATTTAAACCAGAGGTTTCCAAGATCGTTCATGGATTTCTGAAACAATATCAGCGTTCTTAACTTCAATTTTTTTGTTCTGCTCTCATTCTACTCTGCAGCTCGAGACATTCAAGCGAACGCTCATGAATTCTCTTCAGGAAGATGATGAAAGTCCCAATGTACGTTTCTATTACTGCTCTAGGAGAGGGAAGTGTCATGTGGGCAGAAATGGATGAAAATGCCTCTTCTGAAAACAAACATCAAGACATGATGGATGAAGTGTCTTGATGTTTTTGTCAGAAATGGATGAAAATGCACACAAGACATGTCTTTGTCTGCTGGAAGGCATGGCAGTTGCTTTTGGTCGCAAATTTTACACTTTGGCAACTAATGGCATGGCAGTTTAGATCTGGCCAGTGATTACTTGGATGGCTGCGATTGATTGGTTTTTTCTTAATTTGTGAAGACTCTGAATGTTTTGGGTTGGGTCGTCGAAGCATGCGTTTGAATTTTGTTTACTATTTACGGTTTCCTTCTTTTCAGGGCGAAGGAGGGAAGCGAGGTGTAAATCCAAGCTTGGCAATAAAGAGAGCATCTCGTGAGTTCTACACCTTTCGGGATAGCATATTCTTGAGGACTGCGGTGTGATTCTGTCATGTTCTCATCGTGTATCGCAAATCCTTATGGTAGAAATGGACCATGTTCTTGCTATGTCATATTAACTACCTGTGCAGTATGCTGTAACCAGCACTTATTCTTTGTAATTGATTTATTTTTCTCAGAGTGGAGGTGGCGGTGCCAGTAGTGTTGAAGCAAATTGTTGAATCATGTGTTTGCAGAAGCTGAATCAACCGTTAGCAGAACTCCAGTTTCAGACGACGACTACCAATCAGAAAAATCATCCTATGATACAGATTCATCTTTGACTAGTGAGGAGCGTGGCTATCAGCATGGTGAGGGTAAAGTTATTGACCTATCTGCAGGGAGTTTCCAAATGGATGTTCAAGTACTGTTCGGAACCTTTGAATAAGATGACTGATGAAGTTTTTTACAGGACGTTAAAACATTTCAGCCGCTCTCAGAATTTATTGTGCTGATTACGTGATTTATTAAATACAAGTGCCAGTTTGAAATTTCTACTGGTGTACTTAATAGGAGTGCGAAGTTGTAGTGTATGTGAGACAAGTTCATTCATCTAATTAACATCCTTTTTTTTTGTTACTCCTATGCAGCATCAAGGCCACCCACCAGCTATCAAAATTCAGCACAGAATTCTGCTCGAGGTACACCACGTTTGAGTCCAAGATTGACTCCAAGTGTATCACCCAAACAGCAATCCGCAAGAGGATCCCCACAGCGGAGCATGAGTTTGACTGAAAACTCCCACAGAATCTCACTTCCATCGTCAAAAGCTACTAGCCAGTCCACCACTGCTCCAAACTCTCCACCAAGTTCCGGCTCCATGCCATGTATGTTGTCTTCTTTACTATTGACATTTCATATTATAATCGTCATGCAGGATTTATAAAGGTCCCCCCACCTCTCTCTCCCTCTCCTTCACAATGAAATCTATCGTCAGTGAAAAGGGGAGCTGCAGAGTGTTTCAAATCTCACTGTTATTTGTCTTGCAGCACGGACGCCACGAGTTGATGGCAAGGATTTCTTTCGTCAAGCCAGGTATTTCACACGACACGCCCACCTCAGCTTGTCCTGTAAGAGTCTGAGGTCTGCAAATTTTCTAATTTCAGGTGCTGATTTTGTTCATTTATTTGTGCTGCTGCTAGAATGAGACTAGCTCCACAAATAAAATGTTTTCGGAACTTTCATCTACTGGTACTCTGATTGCAAGGGTATTCTCGATTGTCAAATGAGTGCAGGAACCGTTTATCATATGAGCAATTTAGTGCTTTCTTGGCTAACATCAAGGAACTTAATGCACACCGGCAGACACGAGAGGTAATTTATTCCCTTTGTTGCAGTGTCAAAGTAGTCTTTTTATTAGTCTTTGTCAATGAGCTGACGTAGATATTTGCTTAATCATAACTCTTATCAACAGGATATTTAACTCTGGTTCTCCTCTTCGTGCCCAAGTGATCTTGTTTGTCATCGTGGTTTTGATCATTTTTTTTATACTGCAATGGTATCGTACTTCATGGGATCAAGCTGAATTTCTCTACAGCCATTTTGTCTGATTGAAGCCGCATCGAGTATTATTGTCAGTACTGGAGCTTTCTGAGAGTGTTATAAGTAGCAGTTGAAATGTGTCAAGATGTGCAAGTATGAAACAGCATCCAGAACCGAGTGCTGATTGGTCTTCTAATTCTATCCCTTGTAGGAAACACTCCGAAAAGCTCAGGAAACCTTTGGTCCAGACAACAAGGACTTGTATTCTGCCTTCGAGGGCCTTCTGAGTCGTCACCTTCCGTCTTAGGACTGCAACTTTTCAAGTCCTTTGAGGGGGTCCAACTCGAGTTTTTCATTGATTGTAATCAAAATTTTCTACAGCCTTTTGTATTTGATGGATCACATTATCCAAGGTGACGAGGTTAATTTGCAACCAAGATTTCTAGTTCTAGTAATGTAGTAAGCTGTATCATCTGCACTGAGGTGCAATTTAGGGCGCGTGGGTTGCACCGTGATTATTTCAATTACTACAAGGATCTAGATTGTGTAATTTGCCCTTGCACTGTCTGGATTCTTGGAGTATTAAATAGTAGTGCTGATACTAATTTGGTTTGAACAGGTCAAATAAGTGTTTACAAATAGTAAATCAGTAAAACGATATCAAAGTTTCATAAACGGTTTCTCATTTTAAATTTAACATAGTCAAAATAACACGCTATGGTATTGTGTTATGTCTAGACTTGTTGTGATAAGCCACAATAGTTAAAATCAAATTAATCCTGTGCATTAAAAGTCACCTTTTCTATCTTCAATACAATGATTATCATATTAAGGTACTGATCACTATGGGTTCAGATTTCAGTTCTCACGGCACTTAAATATTAGTGTTCCTTGTAATCGAAGTAAACAAAGCATTTAGCTGCTCTTGTACCGAGTTTGTACTGCTAATGGCTTCAATGGGTTGTATAGGTGAGGGACTTGTGTGCTTTTCGTAGAAGGTTTTGTTCCTGAAGTAAGCAGGAAATTCTCTGGCAGTATGCCATTCTGCTTGGTATGTGACCACAACACCAATATCTGTATTAGTAGAGATTCTGTCTAAATAAGCGAATCAATGTGCTCTTGGAGTTCTTCGTACCTTATTTTTCCCGAATTCCACATGCCTGGTATGTCTGTTGTGAGTGTTCAGTTGATTTTTATTCTTTGCATCAAAATTAAATTTTGTTGGAATTGTGGTGATCATGATGTTTCATGCAAGTGAATATACTTTTACATACAAGGTCAGGATACCAACACGACACAACGAAGTATGAAGTTCGAAACTTGGATTTTTTTCTCTGAAATAATACAATTGAAGAAGAACAATTGCAGCAACCATTATGGTTTTTCAAAAAAAAAATCAGCATAGTATTAATTGGTTACTGTGATTATATAGCATTAACATTTAAAGCATAATTAAACTTATTCTTCATATTCATAAAAACTCAATAAAGAATCTGTTAAATGATTTTATACTACTGTACATTTTCTACCATTCAATATGAATACAACATTTGGATATTATTTATATCATATATATTCATATGTTTTTTTATTTATCAATCTGAACTTTGAGGTATAAAATAAAGACAGTGTAATTTGTACTTTAATAAAATGGATTACAATCAAGACTTGATGTTAAATACAACCAAATATACTTATAAAGATTAGTATTATTCATGTTTTTGAATTTCGATTAAATCCATATAAATTATATCTTGAGAAAATATTCTATCATTGAATAATTGATATGAACTAATATTACAACTTAAGTCACTTACACATATAAAAACTAATATATTAAGTGTTATAATGTTCTTTTAAGTTGACGTAAAGAAGAAAAAGAAAAAGAAAAAGAAAAAGAAATCACTTAATTTTATTTCATTTTTTAAATGAAGAGAAATGTTGTATGTAGACAAGAAAAAGACTAAGAAAAAAAAGATTGTGTTGAAATATGGTTCCTTATGTTACATTTGATTTAGGTTTTTACTATTAAATTTTTTGTGTATATAAGTTGAATTGTCTTTCATGTAAGTTTGAGGAATTAAAATATATATATATATATATATATATATATATATATATATATTTAAATAAACATTTTGATTGAATGCTAATCCAAAAAGCATATCATAAAAATCAAATTATGATGCTCAGGAACTAGTAAGTGAAGTATGTTCTGAATGTTACCTTTATTTGTGTATGTCAAAACTAAAAACTAAAAAAAAATAAAACATCATTGATACATTTACAGAATTAATAATCGATAATCATTGTGTATATTCAACACAAGCATATTTATTTAATATCTTTGTTAATATGTGTGTATATACTCATTACATGAGAACTAAACAATATATGGTGTAAAGAAACATCAATACATAAACATAAAAAGAAACAAGTTAAAATTTTGTCAATGACCAAAAAAATGAATAAATTGTGTATATTGTGAAGCTTGTCTTTCTTTCAGCATTTTAGCTGTTATAATTGTGAAGCTTATTTTTCTTTAAAATTTTAATTTATAGATTATTTAAACTTCAAAAAAGATTAAATAAACACAGAAAAATGTACTGTTTGAGATGTTTAGATCTGAAAATGATATCTTAAACACCAGGTTTTGAGCTGAATAAACTTCAGAATTATCTCTAGAAAAAACACAAACAGATTAATATACGTCTCTCTCTCTCTCTCTCTCTCTCTCTCTATATATATATATAATATTTAGTTTATTGGAAACATGCAAAACAAGATTTCATGCAGGGTACGAGAATATTGTGAAGCAACTGATATTGACCATGTTTTTGAAAATAATAACACAAACGTAAATTTTTTATTGTTCAATATATTTATGAACATATATCTTTCGCACCAATTTTTTATTTTAAAAACTTTTTTTTTTTTTTTTTTTTTTTTTTTTTTTCATGAACCCTTGTTTTTAATTTATATTTCAAAAAACCGAAAGTTAAGATACAAAATTGTCCAAAGACAGTAGCGTTGCCAAATCCTTGTAAAGACTTATTCTTTTGATACATCTTAACATGTATTGATATTCAAATTTGATATTTTTGCCAATAGAATTAGAAATCAGTACGTTTTTTGATAGATTTTACAGTGAAATTTTATCAATCTTGAAATTCGTGCTAAAATAATAAAATAATCTTACATTTTCAATACAACGTTATTTGTTTAGATTTCCAAGCTTTGCATCAATTATAAAAAGAAGTAAATTGCCTTGTGTTCTTGATAATTATAATATGCATAGTTGCTAAAAACATATATTAAGATGATTATGTGTTTCAAGTAAAAGAAATATTCTTAAAAGGATATATATATATATATATATATATACATATGAAAACATATAATTAGTGAATTGTTGAAATCATGAAAGAAGTTTGTAGTACAGACTATTGAATGTAAAACAATTACCAAGTTATTTTAAATTTACTTGTATTTCCAAGTCTTATCATTGTAGTTAATAAAAACATTGTGTGTAAAAATGTCAAATAAAAATCTATTTTATTAGGTTTTCTAATTAAACTATATTGTGAAGAATTTGAAAATATTATCAAATTTATTTATTGAAGTTTGAGCAGATTCTAATATTTTAAAATTAATCATCTTAATATATATTTTAAAAAGAATTCATGGATTTATTAAGATGATTAACAATCATGTAATAATTTAAAAAAAGAATTCATGGATAAATTTCTTTCAAGCAAAATAATTTTAATATTTTGATTTGGACACATGCCAACAAGTCAAAATTTATAAGAATTTGTTTCAAAGTTTAACACATGTAAAATTAGAAATATTGAATTATTACAAAAAATCATTCTAATTCTTATTAAAAAAAAAATATTCATTATTGATATTACGTGTACAAAATCAATATAAGTTATATTTTATTTTATTTGCAAAATAGGCTCTAATTTAGTTTCAATATAAAAATTTGTAAACATAGATCACAAAATGATCTTTAACTCTAAAAATTGATATTTATAAACAATAAAAGTAACATATTATTTACATCAAATAATTCACTACAAACTCTAAAATAAACTTCCATTCAAGTATTTTAGATCTCATTCAACTATTATATACTACTAAAATATTTGCTTAAATGACACTTGTAATCACATCCATCAACTTTTCAACTTTGTACGACATGCTAAACAAAGAATCAATTGTGGCCATGATTGACAAAATTCATAGGGAGCCGTTTTTCTAAAAAAACATCTCATTTAATACAAAGCCTTTACAATTTATTTATAATGACTTTTCTGGATTTAAAACTATACATTTACATTGACAGGCAATTATATTTAATAGAAATAAAGAAAAAAAAGTTGCATTCATGTATGTGTATTTGTATATAAATACATATCAACATTCGGTTAGTTTTGAGCCTTTTATTTTAGTTTATTTTTTAAAAAGAAACTTATTCACAATAAACTTATTTAAGCTTCCACTAATTGTACAATAATCTAATAACACACACTTAGAAACAAAAAACACATTGGTTTTTGTTCAAGTTTGTTTTAATCTTAATACTCATAAATCAATAAATATAATACGTATTCTAATAATAATAATAATAAATAAAATTGAAGTTCACTTCTGCCTCCAAAAGCTTAAATTTCACTGTAGGATTTATGTCAGAGACTTGAAAGACTTGCATGATTCTGTGCAGGACCACGGAGTCATTTATGTTTGTTTTGTTTGCAGTTTCTGAAATAAATGGACTTGTGGAGCTTTGGAGACTTGTTTTGGTCAATTACTTCGGAGAGTACAGCCACTTTCTACAACCTCATCGTGGCAAATGCTGTGTGCACTTCAAAAATGGTGAGAAATTGGGGTTGTTGAGAGACGTCGTGAGCAGGCAGAATTGACATTTTGGTCTGCTACTGCAACTACTATTGGGCTCAAAGCCGTGCATTTTCGGTCCGCAATTTATTTTATTTTGTTTTATTTTATTTTTTTGACACAAATAGAGTTACATCTCTATTGCAGGTCGGTCCGCTATTCTTTATTTTGCTCCTCCCATTTATTTTTGTCAGTTGGGACAAATCCTTGTTGGGAGTATCCATAACTATTCATTTCTGTGGTCTTTGTCCGTCGATGAATACGCTTTCTGTTGCACGTTGGGCTGCTGCGCTTCACATGACATGTCCACCATTTATTCTGATTTTGCTGCGAATCACAGCAACTGGGCATCACGATTCTCCGAGGATTGTGTTCGTCGTGTGATTTGACAACTGGTTCGATGAATAAACACCACTAAAGAGAGACCGGAACTGTAACATCGAACCACAGATGGTGTGTAGTGGGTAGAAACATAGTTTTTCTGAGGAACGAGAGCATGATTGGCTCGTATTACCATGTGAAACATGAATAAAAACAGTGCACTCGGCTCCCACATGAAGAACAGGGAAGGAACAGACCTGATTACCCATAATAGAAGCATGCATTTTCACAACATGATATGCCCCAATGAAAGAACTCGGAGTTTTTTCTTTGGGACTGCTCTACTACATTTCCAGTAACATTCTGTGATTGCAGATTTAATCATTGAAAAGAGCACCCACTTGTGGATTTATCCTGTTTGAGGAGCTCTTTTCCAAGTAATAGGCTCAATGTGCCTAAGGCCACTTAATGTTATGTAGACTCCGCAATGGAAGACACAAACTAATAGAATACATGAATTCCTAATTTTGTTGTCGTTGTCGTTGTTGTTGTTGTCGTTTTGTTTTTTTGTTTTTTTTTGTTATCTAAATTAGCTCTCGTAAATAGCAGGCTGAAGGGCAATGCCGACAAAAGCAAACTTCGCCTTTGATACTCAGACACGTGAACAGATAACCTTCACATCATACTGATCTGTCCTACACTGGTATGTAATTTCATCCACTCGTACCTTCCACGTAAACAAAGCTTTTTGTCACATACCAAATACAAAATCCACAAATTTAGAGACGGTGGATTTGGCTGGTGTAGCAAGCACACCAGCAGATCGGTTTCCACTTTCTGTACGCTGCACATAATAGGGACGCTGTGACACATGCCCGCTGGCATTAGCTGCTCCCCAACTAGTTGATCGAGGGGGAAGAGTCATGGACGCTGGGTGTTCTCGTTTATCAGTTAGTACCTGTAGTTGTGCTGGGTCCAAGGGCTTGACACCAACGATAAGAGATCCATTTAGCAGCGTTCCATCCTTAAGGAGCGCCTTCTTAGCATCATATCGATTCTGTGAAAATCAAAAAACCACTCTTAAGCCAATGTAGAGACGCTGCCCGAGTGTAGTAGTGCCTATGATCACAAAAAACACAGTGGCTGCCCAGGACAAAGCTGAAAGCAAGCCTTTAAGGCTTGAATTTCTGAAAAGTAGTCAAACATGGAAAGAAATGAAACCAGACCAACACATACAATTGCGGACGACGGAAGACGCAGACTAAACCAGCATACTCCTAATTCTACACATTGAATGCAATCGCTGAAGGAAGTATTTAAGACAATCAAAATTATCTAAATTAGAGATCAGGTCGAGAAATAATAGCCGACCTGATATTTAATGTGTGCCCAATTAGCTCCACCAGGTCCAGAGACATAATCCACGATGGGGCCACATTTCTCGAACTCACGCATGACTGTATTTGTTTCTTCTGCGCCAAATCTGCAATAAAACCACCAGCCAAAATTTCAGCAACCTTAAGCAAGAAATTAAGCACTGTTGCCGCAAAGTTCTGAATACAACTCCTTATAAGACTGGAAAAATAACCAGCATAAGAAACTCCACCGCCATTATGCAACTATGTGTAATTTCGCATCGTTGATGTGAAGAACAAAAAGCCTGCAATAAGATAAGGGCGGACCAGTACCCGAAAATTGTTACCCACTCATCACCTTCCACAACATCAGTGGCACCTCTAAAGCGCTGGACCTTGGGCCGGACAATATCTCGAGGAGGCTCTAAAGCAAGTAAGCCTCCAGGTTGCTGTTGCTGTGGTTGCACAACTCCGGACACAGGACTTCCTCCGTCTTTATCTCCAGCCCTTCCTGAAATGCCATCATGCATGCTACGATCCTTCGAAGATGACCACCAGATTGGACTTCCCGCTGATTGATTTTGGGGGGGAGTTGGGGGAGATGCAGAAAAAATAGAATTACTCATGATTGGGTCAGGGTAATTGTAGTTATTAAAGCCTCCTGGGCTATTGCTCAACGGGGTCCTAACAGGAGACTTTCCGTCCATGTACTTGTTAGAATCTGTATTACGGTATGTTTGGTCGGCCACGGATGCAGCATCCACAGGTCTCTCAATTCGATCTTCCAAGGTGAACATGGGAGGAGGTGGATCGACTCCCCCGATGTTCTCGCGCCATAGTGCTGCTGCAGCAGCAGCTTGCCCTGGCGTTCCAAGCTCTCTGCGAGATGCTGGCGCTCTAGTGATTGGAGACGCTGATAAATCTCTGTAGAATAGAGATTGTGACTTCCCACCTCTAGATGCGCTCCGTGGCGCCGCGCCTGGGGTACTCATGGCTCAATCTTTCCCCTCAATTACAGTCCCCTGGAAAGAGACGACAACAAACCCTGGGGTCTGATCTGTTTGTCACCTGCTCATGAAAATGCATGGAATGAGATCAACTCCCAAAAAATGCACTCTTGGACTTTCACAATAATGTGGAGACTAATCGGCCTACATTGCGAGTATCTTACACCGTCTTCTGAGTGCATTTCCAGAAAACAACCCACATCAAGGCAGGGCCGCAGAGGACGATTACTTTGCGCTTGAATCTGTACTCTATTACAGTACAATGCACCTTGAAGTTACTATCCCAAACACTAGTCCTTACAAAGACGATACAGAATCAAATACACGTGATGATTCGAGTGGAAAAACGATCAGGGCAATGTGGCTTAAATCCTCATCAGCACCCATAAACGCTAAAAACCAAGCGCGTGTAGGAAAACTTCGCCATAAAAGAACAGATCAAAAATCCCCGCAAACCGCCCTAAACAAGATCCACCCGACAGAAGAGAAAAACACAAAAAACATAAACAAAAACAAAACCCAATCACGAAATTGATAGAAGAAGGAGCCTTAATCGCAGCTTAATCAATCACAAATCTACCAACATCGTGAGGCTAATATCCAAGAAACCTCACCAGTACCAAGACCGCAATCCACCTCTCAGCCAACGACGACGTAGGCTCTTCACCGCAAAACTGGCTGACATCAGTGCAGCTCAGGATTCACAAGGACCCCTTCACAGTGCCATGGATCGGCACGATCCAGGGAGGAAATCGAAACCCTAAAACTGAGGCAGGCCTTGCTTTAAAACTCACCGAGGGCTTGTGATATATTTGAATGGAAAGAGGGGAAGTAGGGGTTTGGAAGGGTGATGTTCCCTTGTTCCCAGGAATGAGAACCCAGCTTTGAGGCACTATCTTGCTCCAGGGTTTTCGCATTCTGCATTGAATTTTCTGTTCGTTGTTTGTGCTTTTTCCGAGATGTCATTTGAGGATTTGGGTAACTATCATCAGCATCAGCAGCTCTCTTTGGCAACGAAAATTGTATACGAGGTTTTACAGTTACTGGGTATTTTTTGCACTGCACATGTGGTGGAATAGTGTGCGTTGAAACAAGTTGCTCACACTCAAGAATTGTAGGTGTGTGCAAGTAGTGTTGGCTTTGCTTGTCGTGACGTTGGGTGACGTGAGGGAAGGGCTCCGATACTGATCAAGCTTACCAGATGAGTATTGTCTCACGTGCGGAGACCGGCGCATGATGGAGGGTTTTCT